TTATATCTTAACATGAACCCTGCAAAATGGTGGATTATTTGTGCAAACCAATCTCGAAATTCATGTGTTCATTTGAGTCTTAATCGAATCAAATTACTCATTTGAATTAATTGAGCTCTAATATTATATCAAGACTTGTGATTCCTTTTTAAAAGATCTTGATATTTTAAAAAGGAATCACAAGTCTTGATATAATATTAGAGCTCAATTAATTCAAATGAGCAACTCAAACTCTTAAATATTTGTCTATATTTCGATAATTATTGATGTGGGATTAATCCCTTAACAAGTCCAGCAAATCAAGCCTTGATATGTTTGTCTATATTTTAATATTTAATCAATATAAGATATATTACTTAACATGCATAGCAAGATGGTGGCTCGTTTGAACACACCTATCTTATAGTCCATATGCACTCAGTATTAGCAAGGGCGGAGCCAAGGGGTGGCCTGGGGGGTGCCTGGCCCCCCCTCTCATTTTTGACCAAAATTTTTTTTTTTATTATTTAACAAAAAAATTGTAATTACTGCTTTCAACTCATTTTTCACATCGAAATTGTTGGAATTTGGATATGGCTATTTCTAGAAGAATTGTAGCCCTTCGAGTTAGATTTCCAACGTAATTTGAATCATCACAATCGGATATCGGTAGAGAAAGTTATGATGGAAATATTGACGACTGCTCAACCCTCGCTCGAGCGACCAATGCAGTAACTTTTCGCCCGAGTTTCGCCCGATTATAATGTAGTTATATAACGTTATCAAAATATGATTTTGCTAAATTAAAAATTAGTACTTTCTTTTATACGTTTCTTGATTTTTTTGTTAATAATGTATCCAAAAAAAAATTCTGGGCCGTAGGCCCCCACCACTTCACCTCTACCTCTTTGCCCACCCTACATTCAAAGTCTGGCTCCACCCCTGAGTATTAGTCAGGTCGAATGTTCGTTGAAGTTTAATAAACTCTGTTAACATATTGAGTCTTAGATTTAATATTAAAATGTCAACCTTGTTAAAAAGAATTATCCAAACACCTATATATTAATTATAGTTTTGATATTTATTCCAGGAAGTATTTATCCTTAGACAACATGAACCTAAAGCTTTCTTCCTTGTAACTAATATTTGCTATCTTTATTAACCCCCGTGTTGCTCTCCATATATAAGAAATTTAGTTATCTTCTATATATTAAAAGTGGTTATGTAACG